AGTGGCCCCCACCCCTGTGAATAAACACTGCATCTCTTTATTTTTGTCCACAGCCATACATATGCATATATTTACAGATATGCGTGTGCATATATTTACATATATAGTGATTATTATTTATGGGGGCGCTGGTCCTTGCTCACCTAAAAGGATTCCAGGGCACCACTTTTGTTTTGTTGACTGCTGTATCTAACACCTGTAACAGTGGTGCTTGGCATGTAATGAGTGTTTAATAAATATTAACTGAATGAATAAACAGAAGCTATTTTTCCTATAATGGCTGGAAGGGTCATCAGAGACCAAAGTTCTTCACAGGCCAGGAAATGGAGATCAGCAGCTATCAGATGATCTGCCCTCTGGATCCTGCCTCCCCAGAACTGAGTGGTGGAGGATGGGGATTTTCTTCCTGGTGGCACTGCTCAGCTTGGCCAGCCTGCTTGGAGCCTGCAGGTTAGCACGGGGTGGCAGGTTGGTGCCCTGTGCTCCACATCTGAGGGCTGGAAAGAAGCCGATGGCTCTCTTAGCTCTCCTCCCAAAGTGCTAGGGCCCTGGGGACCTAGTGATTGGTCTACAAAAGCAAAAAAGGACAGGTAGAGATTCTGAAGTCTGCTCTGGATATCCATCAACAAAAGTGCTTGGAGCTGAGCAGGACTTACAGACAGGTGCGGCTGGAGGAGCCAGAGCCACCACACTTCCCTCCTAAAATCCACAGGCTCTGAGGACTGCACAGCTTTCTGCACTAATTGAAGGCCAGCAACTGCACTTGGATGACTTCCTCTGGTAGGGACACAGAGGACCCTGTGAGGACAAACCTGAGCTCAGTTCCACCATTTATGGGTGCCCAACTTTGCTAGGTATCAACTAACTCTTTTTTTCTTTTTTCCTGGTACTGGGGCTTGTACTCAGGGCTTTTTCATTGAGTTACATCCCTAGCCCTTTTTTATTTGAGACTGAATCTGGTTAATTGCTAGGGCTATACTTGAACTCCTGATCCTCCTGCCTCAGCCTCCCAGAGTGCTGGGATTACAGACAGAAGTCATCACACGTGGTTCCGACTTTTTTTTTTTTTAATCGGTACCAGGAATCAAACTCAAGACAGCACACTTGCAAGGCAAGTGCTTATGCCACTGAGCTAAATCCCCAGCCCCGGTTCCGACTTTTTGAGTCAGGATCAAATGAGATGATACAGGTACCGCATTGGACACAGTGCAAGGCCCCGAGCAAGTCCATGATAGCTTTAGCTTTGATATATGACCCCACTAGTAGGCAAAGTCACCCCCACACCTCACCAGCTCTTCCCATTGCCCCCTGGAGCTGGGAATCTGAACACAGGGTCTGCCAGGGAAGGAAGGCAGCACCAAGGAAGTTCTTAAAGGACCCCACTTTCCCAGTGGAATAGCTTCAAAAGAACTAAGGTTCCAGCTGTAGTGTATCAGCCACCCAAATCTCTATTCTCCCAAAGTGAGGCCAGGCCCAGAGCTCCCTGGAGGTTGAGGAGACAACTGCAAACATCCTTTGCTCCCTTCCCCACCTGTCCCACTACCCCAGTAACAAAGTTTATTAAAAGCGATTCCAGCAGTAATCAGAACGTGATTACTGTTCCTCAAGAGTCATGAGTCTTCTACTTCAGCCCTGTGAGCCAGCTGAGGACCTTAGTTTCCTCATCTGTATAGAGAACAGCAAACGTCTGCCTCTCGGGATAAACGCAAGGTTTAATTCGGTTCAGCACTGTGCCTAGGACACCAGCTGCCTCTTTTAATATTCCAGCAGCCTGGTGAAGCCAGTGCTTGCCGTAAGCATTAATTGCTTAGAAAAGAACACTCTGTACAGCTTAGGCAGTGCTCGTCTAGACCGCGGCCAGGCCAGACCCTCGGCCCGGGCCACCCTGCGGGAGCCGGCGCCCCCTGCGCTGGGGCCAGAGCACCCGGAACCCTCAGCGTGAAGGTGGGGCCGGGAGAGGCAGAGCCAGGAAGGCACAGGTGGAACCTGGAACCGGGGGCGCCTCGCAGGCGCTGGACGCTCCCGGAGAAGTGCCTTGCGCCTCCGCCCTGTCACTCTCAACTTCCCAACGCCAGCGGCCGGGCCAGCTCCGCCTCGGTCTACGCTAGCGCTCCTGCCGCGAGGCGGTCGCGGGTCAGGCACAAGGCCCGGGGTGACCCGACCCCGCAGAGGGAAGCGAGCTTTCCGGAGCCCCCAGCGGTGCCCAGGCGCGGGGGCTCTCGCCTGCTCGGGGGCCGCCGAGGCCCAGCGCCCCTCACACACGCACACACGCGCAGCAGCCGCGGGGAAGGCGCGCGGCCGCCCGAGCCCCCCCCCCAGCCCGCGCGCGCCCCCGGAAGGCTGGGCTCGGGCGCGCGCGTGCCCGCGGGGCGGGGGAGGCGGCGGGAGCGCGTGCCCGCGGGAGCCGAGCCCCGCTGCGCCCGGCCGGGCGGGGGCGGCGGAGGCGGAAGCGGGGGCGGCCGGAGCGCGGTGGGGATGTTTAAAGGAAATTTACAATCATTTCCTCTCTGTGGTTTGGTGACAAATCAACAACATCCTGTTCTTTTGTGAGGCTCCGGGCGCCTGCGAGGCGGGGCGGCGCTCGGCTCTTAAAGAGACACGCACGGCCCCTCCCCCACGGCTCACAGAAGCCCCTCCGCCCGCCCCAGGGCGCCACCTCCGGGGCTGCGGGCCGCGACCCGAGACCCGCGCCGGCCCCTCCCGGCCCCAGGGCGCCAGGCCACCGCCGCTCGGGAGATGTCGCAAGCCGGGGCCAGCTCCCGCCGAGGGGCGGCGGGCGCCCGCAGGAGGCTCCCTTCCTCCCCCGCTCCGGCTGCGGACTCCGGGGGCTTTGCATCCCTGCCTCCGCTCGAATTCTCCAGCCCCCCAAAGAGTGGGTTTAGTTAAAATGTCAACGTCCGCGCACGAAGTTTATCCAAGCCGAGAGAGAGGGACAGGGAGGGAGACAGACAGAGATGCAGCGATAGATAGAGGGGGAGAGAGAGAGAGAGATGACTTCCCGAGCTGTAGGAGTAATGAAAATCAGATGGCAGATGGGTAGGAACAGAAAAATAAAAAATAAATACTCTACTGCCCTCCTGGGATTTCGTTCATTCAATCGTTTAATGAGTATTTTTTTTACTAAATACTGGGCACCCCCAACAGGAATGGGAGAGACACGGTCCCTGTCCCCAGAAAGGCGACTTAGATCTTCAAAACTAAGCCAGTGGGCAGGAATATTTCAACTCCAGAAATGCCATGATAAAAGAGCATCCTATTCTAGAACAGCAGCTGTATAGGGAGAAGTCAGAGGTGACGGAGCCGAGGCCCACGGGTGAGAGGCGCCTGTCCGCATCCCGGACTAGGCTGAGGGGTCCACACGTACTGCAGGCTGCACGTGCCCTGGCCCAGCTGAAAAGCATCTCCAGGGCCAGATTTCCCCACCAGGAGAGCCTGGGAGGTTGGCACACAGGACAGTGAGACCTGGGTCCTGCTTGGATCCTGTGGCCTGAGGCTTCTGACCTGGGAAATGAGAAGGCCACACCTTCAGGAATCTTCAATCTGGGTGCAAAGCAAAACTCAACCCACTCAGATCCCTGGCAACAGGGCCGAGACATTGGCATTTCCGGGAAGGTTCTGGAAGAGGCAAATTTAGCTTGTGGACAGGTTTAAGAGCCACATATTTGAATGATCTGAAGTTTGGGTTTGAAGACAGCACAGGTGGGCACTGAGTGCTTGGTATCGGAGGTACCAAGCCCTGAGCAGGCATCATGTACGTTTCCTCCAAGTTACAAGTAAAACCTCTGTGGAGCAAGCTAGGTGGTTATTATTTCCATTTCACAGATAAGGAAAGGGAGGCAGAGGTTATGCGCTTTGCTCAGGGACACACAGCTGGTAAGCCAGCTCAGTGTGCTCTAAGCCAGGTGCCTTTCTGGTGACCTGATGGGGTTGGTGAACACAAGAGTAGCTACCGAGATGGGAGCGTGGGGTGCCATAAGCCAGGATGGTCCCTGCATCTTGCACTGAGGCAGCCTAGCTGCCCGGGGTGGTGGTGCCAAGTGACAGAACAGCCTCGTATGGTATTTCCCTCTGCAGAGACCCTCTTGGTCATTTCAGAGATGATTCCCATAAACCCAAGGCACAGCTTTCGCCAGAGGGAGAAGCCATTTGGTAGCATAAGAAAGAGAAAGGATTTCCTATATACCTCAGGAAGGGCCAGCACAGAATACACTCCTCCGCCCTCCACACTCTCCCATATGGGGCAGTCCACTGCCCTTCCCTTTGAACTCTTCCATTTGTGTGTCCTCTGAGCCAAGACTCAAAAAACTAGGCGCACACCAGGATAGGTTCCCTGGCTCTCATGCCAGGATAGGCAAGGGACAATAATAAAAAGCAGAAATCAGAAGAAAAGATGATCTTGTCTTCTAGTGGAATAGTATGTAGCTATTAAAAAGGGAGTTATGTGCACCAGAGAGATGTCCATGGTTGATAAGGGTCTGAATAAGATCTTCTCACTGACAGTCACATAAACACTACGTGAGCAAGTGAATTTATACCTGCAACCACGCACTGCACGCGCACACACACACCAGACTGAAAGTAACAGCAATTGGGCAGATACACGGTAGAACGCAAAAAGGGGGGCTTTTTGTGATACACTTTCACTGTACTTTCTCTGTATTTATTTCCACAGTATTTTTTTGTTTGTTTGTTTGTTTTCAGTACTGGGAATTGAACTCAGGACAGGTGCTGTGCCACAGAACTATATCCCCAGCCCTCTTCACAGTATTTTTAATCGGTGTCTAAATTGCAGTCAATAGCCGTGTGCGGATTAGAAACAGTGCTTGTGTTTACCAATGATCATGTAAATACCTAAGGGGACTATCTGAACCCTCTCTGGGTGGATGGCCCCCTAGCTCTGTCATCTTTTCTGAGTTTGCAGCTGACACCTGGATCTCCTTCCTCTCACGGTTGCTTCACCTCAGCCTGCCCAGCCTGCTGGGCCAGTGGGAATCTCTTACCTGGTCAAGCAGCTCTCCGCCAGTCCTCCACTGTCACGCCACACCTGGGTCCTAGCAGGCCGATCCGAGTGAGAGCTGCTGGCTGCAGCTGAGATGAGAGATGACAAAACTCATGTGAGGGGGGACAATATTGCAGCTTCTACTCAGCGGTGCTAGTAGTGGTGTGCATGATGGGCCGACGGTGGTCTTCAGGGCTCCTAATTTCCCTTTATGTCTGTGTGTTGTTCTGGAAGCTGAGAAATGGAATCTGACAGTCTAAGCCCCAAAGAGAAACAATAGTGCTTGGTGGTCAGAATAGAGTGCAGAAATCCCTAAGAGAGAGTTTGAGGCTGTACATAATGCCGTGTGCCCATCAGTCTCCCGCTAGAAGCCAGGCACCCCCACGCAGGACCTGAATCTTCAGCAGAAGGTGAAATGTCTGGCTGTCCTGTTTCCTCCTGTTTTCTTAGGCGTGTCGTGTCGTGGTTCAGAGCATGCATTAAGACAGAAAACTCAGGTGGGACTTCCTAAGCTCAGTTTGGTCTCATCAGAGCTACTGCCAGCCCTACTCTTACCTGGGACAGACAGTAAATCTAATTGCTAGTTTTGTAGCTAACAATACAAGGTTCTCAGCAATTGCAATCTTTACCAAACAAGTGAGAATAAGGAAGGTGAACGAGAGAGCAAAGTTCAAGGGTATTTACACACCTATTAGCCTACTTGGCCTCTGACATTAGCAGTCCTGTCTGCCAGAATCCTCTGTGGTTGAGCTATTATCTCATTCAAAAACTACCAGCTTCCCTCTGAGTAGTGGTGCACAGCTGTAATCCAGCCTACACAGGAGGCTGAGACAGGAGAATTTCAAGATTGAGGCCAACCTGAGCAAGTTAGTGAAACTTTATGTCTTAAAATAAAAAAATAAGGCTGGGCGTGTAGATTGGTCATAGTCTGCCCCAATTTCAATCTTAGTACTGAGGGGGAAAGAGGACAAGGAGGAGGAAAAGGGGAAAGAATGAAGGAATATCCTCACCGTTACGTGAAGTCCAGATTTATATATGTTTGAGTGCTACCAGCTACACAGATAGATCCAGGCAGGTGAAATTCCTTCCTTCCCCACCCAGGGCTTGGCCACCTTTGAATCTTCTCCTTCAAAGGACAATCCTTCCTGTTGGTTTGTTCGTTTTGGGTCTCATTCTACAGTTCACTGGGGCCTCAAAGTCACTGTGTAACCCGGGCTGGCCTTGAATTTGTGATGGTCTTCCTGCCTCAGCCTCCCTGGGGCTGGGGTTACAGGTGTGCACCATCACACCCAGCCCCTCCTTCTCTCTCCCTGCTGTGGCTCCCCCTTCCTCCAATCTAGTTAGAAAAAAGAAAGTTTCTGGGGATAGGAGGTTTAAACTGATGGGCCATTAACAGCATAACAAAGCAAAAGGAATTTTCCAGGTCACCAGCCAACAGCTTCAGAGCAGCACTATTTAAAACTTGCTGCTTTAGGGCCAAATGGTGGGGGGCAGGGGAAGCATTTCTTCTAGTTGATGGGGAACTGGAAAGCGATTTTTTCTGGCCAGCAAAACCAGTAACATCATAAAGTTCAGCTTGGTTTGCATGCAGGCTTTTTATCAATGTGCTCAAAATGTAGATTTTTGGGAAAAAAAGATGTCTATTGCTGAAACCTTAAATAAAAGATTCTCTCTGGCTTTGGATTTAGGAAACACCTCGATCCCTGCTCTGGCCTTGAGCATGATTTTCTAAAATATAACATGCCTGTAAATTTCTTGTAGCTCTCTGATCAAACACAAGCACATGCAGGCGTGAGCACACACACACACACACACACACACACGAACACGCATACACATGCTGCGTTAGTACAGCTGTGGCTAAGGCTGCCCAAAGTGCTTGGGTATACCGTGTTCTCCCCGACTGCATTTTAAAAGTGCACCGGCGGGCAGGCCCGGGGTTGCCAGCTGGGGTCTCAAGCAGCAGCAGCCCTGCTTTGTGGAAATGCCCTTTCTCCAAGGATCACCTTTGCCATGGAGGGGAGAACGCCCAGCAAAGCGTGCCTGAAATTCCACAGGGGTCCCTTATCACCTCTCCCCGTTGCTGTCCAGGGATTTCCACAGGCTCTGGCCACCTAGGAAGGCCCCAAAACTCCTGTCATCTCTTGCCAGGCACAGTGGAGCCTGCCGTGCCTGTAATCCCCTAACACTCAGGAGGCTGAGACAGGAGGTTGATGAGTCCAAGGCCAGGCTGAGCTACACAATGGAACCCTGTCAAAAAACATTTTTCCCCTTAACCTTAGGACCTCCTGGGGGCCCTGCCAAATTGAACAGATATGCTTACGTGGTAAAGATGGCCCCAATTACTATGGCTTGCATTATGATTTTCCAATTGGAAGGGAGTACAAAAGCAACTATATCATATTGTCAATTTTGATCTTTCCCCAGGCTAGCGGTAAACAAAACAGTTTTCTCATGATGTGGGGCAGCAGCGGCAAGAGCAGCCCCAGCCACGTCGTCACCGTCACCAGCCATGTATCACCGACACACCGCAGGAACTGGCAAAGCTTTGATGTCTGGTAGGTTAGGTGTGTAACACGCATGCTCAACTTTCACGGGTTTATGGGGATGTAAACACATCATAAATCGAGGTGCATCTGTAGCTATATACATTTTTCAGCTTCTGTATTATGGTGGCTTCCCGAATTTTTTTTTTTTTTACTTGATTATTATTATTTTGGTCTTTTTGAGACAGGATCTTGTTATGCAATTCAGGCTGGCCTTGAGCTCACTTTGTAGCCCAGGCTTGTCATGAATTTGCAAGGATCCTCCTGCCTCAGCCTTAACAGTGCTGGGATTACAGGAGTGTGCCACCACACCCCGCTCAAATTTTTTAAAAAAGCAACAGCATCCCTTTCGAAGGAATGAAAAATCTGGAACATAGGAATGAAACGATTGTTTCTGGTGAAAGGTAATCACAATGTTCAAAAAGGCCCTTGGGATTCAAAACTGGGGGAAAATATTTTAGAATATCATTGCATTATTACTTTCAGTAATTTTTTTAGTATACATAAGGATGTAGCTTAGTGGTAGGCAGAATGCTCAGCTAGAATGTATGAGACCCAGGACGTGATCCCTAGCAGAGCCCCCTCTCCCACCACCCCACCCAACCCAAGGAAGGAAGGGAGTTAAGGAGAGACGGAAAATGATATGGATCAGAAGTCTACACTGTAACCCTCTTCGGTCCAGCCCCTGCTTACCTGAGCCATGTAGCTCTTTTCATCTGGTCTTACTCTTGCTTGGGTTCTTGGTTTTCTTTGTGTGAGTCCTCTGTTGGTTACCTGGAAAGAGACACAGAAAAGATAAGAGTTTTTAGCAGGGCATGGTGGCACACGCCTGTAATCCCAGCACTCAGGAGGCTGAAGCAGGAGGATCATTGTGAGTCAGAGACCAGCCTGGGCTACAAAGTGAGTTTAAGACCAGCCTGAACTGCACAGTGAGACCCTGTGTCAAAAAGACAAAAACAAAACCACAAGAGCTAGATTTTTTTTTTTTAGACCTTACATATTTGAAAATAACTTTCTTTTTTTAATTTATTTTTTGAGATGGAGTTTCACTATGTCCAGTCTTGCCTTGAATTTTGGGCTAAAGTGATTCTCCTGCTTCAGCCTTCTAAGTTTTGTGTTTTTGTTTTGTTTTGTTTTGTGTTTTTTTGTTTTTGTTTTTGGTGCTGGGGATCAAACTCATGACCATCTGCTTGCCAGGCAGGCACTTACACCACCGTGCTAAATCCCCAGCCCCTTCAGCCTTCCAAGTAGCAGAGCTGCAGGCGTACACCTCTGAACATCTGGCATTCATCACTCTTGGATCATTTTGCTAGGTATAAAGTCTTAGATTGCATATCTTTCCCTGACTCCACAACCTCTGCCTCCCCATCAAGCTAACCCACTCCAGGTTCCAGATCTCTGAACTAGCAGCTCCTTTTGCACAGACCATTTATCCCCTTTCCCACGCCTGCATCTGTGACACTGCTGAGAAAAATAAGTCATCATTTTCATCAGGGAAATGTCTACCCCTACAAGGCTGGGTGGCTATGTCTTCAACGAGCTCCCACAACAACTAGCACTGGTCCCCTTGTTATACCCATGAGACAGGATTATCACGGCCTCATTCCCAAAGTCTTCCATGTCATGTGTGAGGGCTGGGAATACACAGCCACAGTGCCACTCTGAAAATATTTATAGGGAAAAAATGGTCATGATTGTTTGAATTATCATCTACAATAAAGTGTTTGCAAAATGTCCTCATTAGTTTCAGATTTTTGATTAAAGAAAAAGATTGCCCTGGAGGAAAGAAATGCTACCTTTTGTGTGTGTGTGTGTGTGTGTGTGTGTGTGTGTGTGTGTGTGTGTGTTTGAGACAAGGTCTCACTATGCAATCCAAACTGGTCTCAAACTGACTATGTAACCCAGTTTGGTCTTGAATTCACAGCAACCTTCCTGCCTCAGCCGTCCAAAGCCTGGGATCATAGGCGTGTATCACTAAATCCAGCTAAGTTTTTGTTTGACACGTTTCCTTTGAAGGCAGGTACCAGTTCTGCTCTCCTCACTGCTATTTTCCCAACACTCAGACCCCAAGGAAAGACAGCTTAATAAATAGTAGCTGAATGCAGAGCACCTGCCTAGCATGCATCATCAGCACCAAGAAAAGCACAAAGAGTTGCTGAATGAATGAACTGCTCCACATAAAGCAAGATCTATGCATTATTCTACAAGGAAAACTAGCAGAAAAAAGTACCTACTGTCTTTACCATTTTGGAATAGGGGACTTGTACAGCAAATTCAGTCATTATTGCCAGCCACCCCGGAGGCCAACCATCACCCTCTCCCCACCCCGTCCCAGGAGTAGCCATGCTTCTTTGGACACCTGAACTTGATGCTCCGGAGTCTGCAGGCCCTGACCCTGGTCCCTTTCCTTCTGTCCCTCTTCAGTATGAAGTCCTGTGGCCTCCTCTTCCTTCTCAGTAACTTTCACACTGACAATCCTTTCATACTCCTCTTGCTGGTCCTCTCATTTTGACCTCCATCACCCTGTGCTTGGGCTTTCACACGGCCCTTCCTTCATTCCAAGTCACCTTGGCCTCTCATATTCATCTCTTGGAAGTGTTCCAGGCAGCTGGGCTAGTTAGAAATACTGTAGGTAGTCAGACAGGGCTGGGCCCTTGAAGAAGCCAGCACAAAGGACTGGATGGCTAGTGATCCTGGAGGAGACACACACCCCTTGCTGTGGGCCAGACCTCGGGACAGAAGGCAAAACAAAGCGACCACACCTTTAAGGATGTCTGGATCACCTTGAGAAACCTCGAGTCGCCATTCCAATCCCCTATAGGAAGAGTCACTGATCTTAAAGCATGCTCAATTGCTACATGACTCGCTTCCCCATTTGTCCCCGATTTGGTCAATTTTACCTGAACAATTAACCTTATTGGATGACCATAGCTCTGTCCCACCTCATGCCCATCTGCCTTGTGAGTTCCCAGTTTTCCCCAATTTTAGGCCCGCCTCACCCCATGGTTTTATTCTATAAAAATCTCCGGAAAAGGCAGAGTCCTTGGCAACCCGCTAGGGACCCCTTCTGTCTCTCTCGGGCAGAAGCTTTCTTTCCCTCAATAAATATATTCTACTCTTAACCTCCGTTGTTCCTAAAATTCTTTTTTCGGTTTTAGAGAACAAGAACTCATTCTGAATGTGTAGTAGGTCGGGAGTTGTGTTCCCCTATCTCAGAAGCTTCACTTTCATCCATCTGTTCACTGTCCAATCACTTTCTGAGGTTCCTAAATTCCTTTCACAGTAAGCTGTAACTCCTCTGCCGGTTTCCTATCTTAACAATCACTTCTAACACTCTCTGTTTTCCTTCCACACACACCCACCACTTACACACACAGCTCCCTCTGGTCAAACGAGAGATGAGTCAGTCTCAAAAAGAAGACAGCGGATTTAACACATAGTTTGTGCATTCTCTCCTCTGGAATGTTCTCCTCCTATCTCCCTTAATCCACTTCATCTTTGCAGATCCAATTTAAATCTTCCCTTCTCCAATTTACCTCCATCTACAACTTTAGGCCTTGCTGATCTCTCCAACTTTAAAACTCAAACAGTGTTTGTCTTCTTTGCAGCCCAATTAAATTCTCACAGGTGCCTCCAAGGTACCACGCAGTCTGCATAGATCAGTGTCAGCCTCCTCCCACAGCCTGGGTGGGGCTCCTGATGGTAAGGCCACCTTAGGAGTCCAACACACGCGCACACACACACACACACACACACACACACACACACACACACCAGTTCAATACAGTAACTTTCAGCAAGTGATAGGAAAGCCACCTTCAGAAGCACACATGAGTTAAATCCCAGCCCTACAATCACACAGTATTGGTAGGTGGAAAAGTGTGTCTGTTTGTGAGTGCATCTGGGCAAGCAATTTAAATCCTCTGAGCCCCAGGGTACTCCTCTATAAATTGGGATAACAACAGTGCTACCTTGTCAGCTTGTTGGGAAGATGAAATGAGATTATGCCAGGTAAGGGAGTTTGTACACCGCTCAGCTCCACAGCTAAACACTCACTGTATGCTACCCGCTGTCAGAACAGGCATCCAGTCCCTCTCCCTGGAGTCAAACGTGGGTCTTGGCTTCACTGTCTTCTGTCACCGAGCGGCCTTACAGTGACGTCCCGCCAGTTCCTCCTGCGTCTTGGGACACGTCCATTATCTCAGGCCCCACTCTGTCTTTCTCCTGCCCTCAGCACAGGACCGACTCATTGGCTGCCTTTGGTCTGTGAACCGTCTAAAGCCTTTCTTTCTCCCACTGAATTGTGATCATTCTATTGTCAAAGCAACACATGCTGCCTGTCTAAAAAAACATTTAAAGTGCAAAAGATGTAAAAGTGAAGAATGAAAATCTGACTCCCCATCCAAACCTCATTCTTACTCTTCCCCCACACAATTTCTATTCTTCAGAAGTATCCAAGCCAGATGTGGTGGCACATGCCTGAAATTCCAGCACTCAGGAGGCTGAGGCAGGAGGATTGCCATGAATCTCCAAGGCCAGCTTGAACTGTAGAGCAAATCCTGTCTCAAAATGACAGAAAAAAAGGAAAAAAAGGTAACCAGGCAGCAGCCTCTTGGGTGTATTCTAGAAATCCTTTCCATCTATAGAAGCACACACAACACACATGCAAGTTCTACGACTTGCTTTAGTCACTGAACAGTTTTGAGCACCTTTCTGCAGCCATACCTAATGGGCATGACACATCACTTAATAGCAGCACAAGTCTCCTTTATAGAGAGGTCTGTCCTTGCTGACTTCATCGGCCCCTTGCAGATGGGCAGTTAAGTTGCTCCCCCTAGAATGTGGCAATGAGCATCCTTGAATTTAGATCTCTGTGGACCCCACAAGCGCTCAAGCCTTCTGCTTGCCAGATTAGACAGACCGACTCTTCAGCTGGTTTTTCTCCTGATTCCCCACCTGGACAGTGTTCAGTCCCGGACCTGCTGACTCATGGACTGGCAGCATGGCCCCTTCCTCCTAAGCTCAGAATAGAAGAAAGAGGTCACTGGACCGCTTCCTCGACATCCAGCCCAGCGGGAGCTCACGGAAGCGGGCTCCTCCTTCTCTCTGGAACATAGGGGAAATCTTGGGTATCTGGGGACAGAACTTCAGAAAGGGACTGCATTCTCGGGTAGCTGAGGAAGCCCAGCACAAGAAGGAAATGCGTATTTGGTTCTGGAGACAAACTCCAGCTGCTTTCCGTGGGGCTGAGAGGGCTGGAACTGTCCTGCCAGGGACAGTAGCTGTGACGGGCTTCAGGTGGTGGCTGGGAGGAAGTGAATGCAGGCTCCTGATCAGCAGTGACGCGGCACTATTATCCAAGCCCACATCCGTCCCCTACACACTGTCCTTCCTTAGGCCAAGGACAGGATGGGATGTGAGAAGTGGGGCTGCACAGGGCCAGCTCGTCCTGAGTCATCCAGCCACCAACCGTCCCCCGGAGGAGCAGCCTCAGGAGCTGGGGGGAGGAGGGCCCCCCTAGGCTGCGCCCAGGTTGCTCAGTGATCACCAGGGACCTGCAGTGAGGCACCACACCATCCGGAGCTTCGGCAGCCTCCTTCCTTCTCAGTCGAAAAAGCCGCACCGACAAACAGTCCCTGTCCTAGTCTGTCCTTGGCAGCAGGATGTACACGGAGTGCTTAACACAGGACATGACGTCGCATAAGCAGTCAATAAATATTTGATATTTGCTTCACTTACGTCTCCTGGCCTAGCACAGCACTCAATTCAGCGTACGTGCTCAACGAGACAGTTATTTATTATTTACTTGTATTTTTTTGGTGCCGGGGATGTCCATGCTAGGCACGTGCTCTACCACTGAGCCATATCCCCAGCAGAAATGTATTTTTAAGGAGATGAATAACCTCTTCCTTTCTGGGGGATGGACGGGAAAATGACAAAACGGCTGTAACGGCCTATCCAACTTCATTATCACGCGTTCTCTTTTTCTAAGTGCTAGTTACCGAGCCCAGGGCTTCCTGTAGGCCAGGCAGAGGTACCTGGCAGCCCTCTTGCTGTCTTTACAGCTTGTGACAGTACAGTTGGGTTTGTTTTCACCTTTCTTTTCTGCCTTCTTTGCTTCCTTTGTTTCCCCTCCCTCTTCCTGCCTGTCTTTCTTTGGACATGGAGTCTTGGTGTGCTGCTCAGGCTGGCCTCGAACCCCGGCTCAAGCAATCTTCTGGCCTCAGTCTTTGGAGTAGCTGGGACAGTGGGTATTTACCACAGTACCCATGTTTTTTTATCCTTCTTTTTTTCTTTTTCCTCACTTGCTCCTCCTTTCCTCTCCTTTCTAAAAGATACTATAGCCAGGGACATGGCTCAGCAACACAGAGGCCTGCCTGGCAAGCACAAGACCCTGAGTTTGATTCCCAGTACAAAAAAACAGAGAGGAAGAAAGCCTTTACTGCCGCCCTGCCCCAGGGGAGCCAGACTGGACCTCCCCACTCTCAGCCTCCCCTCCCAAACTAAAAGATACTGGGTTCTCCCTAGTTTATCCTTAAGAGCTGGTCACACAAAATATAAATTCATAGTCACAGTCTCACAATCACAATGCAGTTACTAAAGCGAAACCAAGAGTCCCAGACTATAGAGTACCTAAGGAGAGACAGGTGTGGTATTATATGCTTATAAATAGTCTGGGAAGCTGAGGCAAGCAGTTTGCTAGTTCAAGCTCAGCCTAGGCAATTGTTATGTTTAGATTTTTTTAAAAAATTGATCCCATGGGGCTGGGGGTTTAGCTCAGCGGCATAAGCGCCTGCCTTGCAAGTGTGCCGTCATGGGTTCAATTGCAGGTACCGATAAAAAGGAAAAAGACCAAAAAAATTGATCCCAGGAGCTGGGGCTATAGCCCAGTGGCATAGCACCTGCCTGAAAGCACAAGGTTTTGAGTTCAATTCCTGGAACAAAAAAAAAAAAAGTCCCCAGAAGCCTCTGGCTTTCAGAGGTGAGGCTTTTTAGAAGTGTCTGGATCATGGGGCATTATATTCACCAGTGCATCAGCCCACCGATGAATCCACTGTTGAACATGCTGTTAGCAAGTGGGCCGTGGCGGGAAGAGGCAATTCACAGGGGCAGGACCCAGAATCCTCCCTTCTGTCTCTACTTCCCGGCCACAATGATGTGGGCAGGCTTTTTCCTCCAAGGCCCTTCCACCATGCCTTTCCACCCATCATGGATTCAACTTGCTAAAACTATGAGCCAAAATGAACCCTCTCTTCCTTTAAATTGCAAGTGTCAGGTATATTTTCCATCAACAACAAAAGTGACTGAGACTGCAACCTCAGAATTTGACAATGCCCTATCTCTAAATAAAAAATTAAAAAGAGGGCTGGGGATATTGCTCAGTGCAAAAGCCCTGGGTCTAAGGACTAGGAAGATGAAAACTAAGTTTTCACCGAGTAACTACAGAGAGAGTAACTACAGAAAGGGCGCCTGGGCCAGCCCCTCCAGTCCTTACCACAGTGCCCTCCACCCCTTCTGACACGGCTCCCACAAGCATGCTTGGGGCTGCGCTGCAAGGCCAGGTGCCCCTTCCGTGATTCCTGCCCTTTAGTACTCTCTACACGGAACACTTGGGCTCACCCTCCCAGGACCTGTGTCCTCCTCTGGCTTCTCTGAGTAGCCACATTCTTCGGTCATCTTCCTGTCTCCTTTGTCGGTCCCCACTTCTCATCCCTCTTGTAGACTTAACTGCATCCCCTAAAATTCACCTGTGGAAGCTAGGTGCAGTTGCTGTGGTCCAGCAACTCAGAGGCTGTGGCAGGAGGATCACAGCCTGAGGCCAGCCTGGGCAACTTCTCGAGACTGTGTGTCAAAAATAAAAAAGACTTAAATTAGTCTTACCTCTAAGAAAAAAAAAAAAAAAAAAAAAAGATAAGAAGGCCAGTTCAATACTAAAACAATAAGTAAATAAATAAAAATATAAATCATATGTTGATATTGTACCTCAGAATATGATCACAGTTGGAGATAAGGACATTAAATAGATAATTACAAGCCTGGCATGGTGGTGCACTTCTATAATCCCAGCACTCGGGAGTCTGGGGCAGGATTGCTGCAAGTTCGAGGCCACCCTGAACTACATAGAAGACTGTATCTCAAAAAACAGAAAGAAAAAAAGAAAGAATTATGATAAAATGAAGTCATTAGAGGGGGCCTTAATGCATCTTTATAACAAGAGGAAATTAGGATACAGTTAAAGAGAAGAACCTGCAGACAGAGAGGAGGTCATCTTGAAGCCAAGAAAAGTCTCAAAAGAAGCCGACCAGATGTCTACTGTTTAAGCCATCCAGCCTGTGGTACTTTGCCATGGCAGTCGCAGCAAAGCCACGTATCACCAGAACACAGTCAAAACTCCCGAGGCCCAGACCCCTGTACCCGCCTCCCCCAGAGGTTCAGCCAAGCCCACACACCGACACAGGAGCTCTCACCCACTCTCCCATGCTGGATTCCAATGACCAGTTAGGAAATTTTCTTTGCATTGTTTTGCTAATCTATAAATCTGAAGCAGTCCAGGACTACAGAATCATGAAGGTGAGCCCAAGCTGCTGTAGCTTAAAAAGGAGGAAACTCAAGCAACCAAAGACAAACCCAGCTTCTGTCTGACTGCATTACTCCGATGAGCAGCATCTACCTGGAGTGTGCTTAAAAATGTGGCATCACTCTTCCCTCCCCCTCCTCCCCAGCCCAACCAGGGGGCTTCAGTGCGCTCCACGGCACTGTGTCTGTCGTCCTGGGGCTTCCTTAGCCTGTTTCCCCTTGCAGACTAGTGCTTCAGAGCACTTCTACACAGCACGTATGGACTGTGGAGACCCTACTGGCCTGTGTTAGGGAGGGAAGAGGAGGCTCAGGGAGTTATCGCTTGGATCTGGCCCCTGGAGTCATCTGGTGGCCTGATGAAATGATTCGAATAATGGTAACTAGATCACAGTGTCTTTGTAAGAATTAAATGTGGATTTGGACCAGTCTAGAGTTAAAACTCTACATGCAACCTCATGTCACCTTCTTGTCTGTCTGAAAATGCAGAGTGAGCGGTTCAGTTTCTGACAGTGTGGTAGCCAAAGAACCCTGCATAATGTGATGTTCCAGTGGAAAAAATCAAAAATATTGAATAAAATGTAGCATTTAATCTCCCAAATAATGAATTGCTGACCAGTACCCCCTCCCCACCCCCACAAAAAGAAAGAAAAGGATTATGAAGAGGCCAAAAACTAAATGAAAAGGAATTCTGGACTGCAAGTGGCAGGGCAGATTTGGACTAAGGGTTTCTGCCAAAACTTGATGACTTGAAGCTCTTATTTTGATGAGTACGGAATATAAGGGCTGGGGTGGGGATGTAGCCCAGAGGTACAGCGCTTGACTAGAATGTGTCAGGCCTGAGCTTCAATCCCCAGAACCACAAAATTAAAAGAAGAAGAGGTGAGGAGGACCGATTGTAGAAGGTAAGGAGTTTATCAGAAGAACAAAGTGTCCATAACATAGTATTCTCTCTGTGAATAAGAATTAAACCCATACCACAGAGGGCACAGCAAAGAAATTTGTTTGACCAACCTTGATACTGGTAGAGGGAAGAAAAAAGCCTCCCCTGAAAGCTGCTTGCCAGGAGTGGGTACTCTGATTCCTACTATCTGTGTTCTACGTGGTTCAAAACTCTCAGGAATAAAATTTAATTTAATAAGCTTTTTTTGGGTCTTTTTTAGCTGGACTTGAGCTTACCTTATAGCCCAGGCTGGTCTCAAATCTGAAATAATCCTGCCACTTCAGCCTCCAGAGTACTGGGATTTCAGGTTGATAGAAACAGATTCTAGCAACTTACAAGAACCAACACAAATCCTCTCCAAATGATGTAATTTCTTTGTTTGATTGTTTGTTTATTTGTTTTTGCAAATGATGCAATTTCGGTCCACATCAATTCAGCTCACAGGTTAAAAATCAAAGCACACAAGGAAATAAGGCACCATGAGTGACAGACTGCAGAAAAAACAGCAGCGTGGTTAGACCCACAAAATGATGACAGACAATTTCTTCAATGGTTCTGGGCCTGAACCCAGGGCTAGGTAAGCCTTACCACTGAGCCACACCTCTAACCCAGCCCCAGAAAACTATGATGTAATAGAAATCCTAAGTACAGAACACAACTCAGTATTTGTATTTCAAAACACAAACATGAGGCTTAAATATAAAAGTATAAAACAACCAAGCCACGTTAGAAAGAAAGCTAGGATTTGTTTAATAGTAGATTTGACATTGTGAAAGACAGATTTCATAGCCACATATGATGGCACATGCTGGCAATTCCAGCAGTCTGAGAGACTAAGGCAAGACTCCAAATTCCACCCCAGCCTGGACAATTTAGCAATTTACTGAGAGACCCTGTCTCAGTCAATCAATCCACCAATCAACCAATCCATAAAAATTAAAAGGGTTTGGGCTGGGTGTGGGGGTGCACACCTGTAATCTCAGCACTTGGGAGGCTGAGACAGGAGAATCACCATGAGTCTGAAGCTAGTCTGGGCTACACAATGAGTTCAAGGCCCACCTGAACTATTATAGTAAGACATTGTCTCAGAAAATGTAAATAAATAAATAAGAAAGGGCTGGAGATGCAGCTCACTGTGTAGGTTCCAGGTTCAGTGCCCAGTGCTAAAAAGAGGAGGAGAAAGGGGAGGAAGGGGCTGGGGATTTAGCTCAGTTGCATAAGCACCTGCCTTGCAAGCAGGCGGTCGTGAGTTCGATCCCCAGTAGTGATTAAAAAAAAAAAAAAAGAGGAGGAGAAGAAAAAAAGAACAACAGGAAAGAGAAGGAGGAAGAGGAGAAAGATGAAAGAGAGAGAGAGGAGAAGGAAGGAAAGGAGTAAAGGGGAAGGGGGAAAAAGGAGAAA